GGTCCAGAGGGTCCTGGACTGAGGGCTAACGGGTCCAGAGGGTCCTGGACTGAGGGCTAACGGGTCCAGAGGGTCCTGGACTGAGTGCTAACGGGTCCAGAGGGTCCTGGACTGAGTGCTAACGGGTCCAGAGGGTCCTGGACTGAGGTCTAACAGGTCCAGAGGGTCCTGGACTGAGGTCTAACAGGTCCAGAGGGTCCTGGACTGAGGTCTAACAGGTCCAGAGGGTCCTGGACTGAGAGCTAAAGGGTCCTAACAGTTCTGGAAACATTTGTTTTGTAAACAAGTTTGTTGAATGAGTTTAATAAAAGGAGTGTTTTTACTGTTTTTATTTTAGTTTTAATGGTTAAAGCTAATAACTGAGTTGGTTTTATTGTCTTAATCTCTATCAAACAGTTCATAGAAAAAAGATAAAACTGAAAAAAAAACATTTAAGTGCATCAGAACCATTAAATATGTTTAAAAAAACAACTTGATCTAAAATAAGCCAGAAAAATAAAGTATTAAATCCAGTAACTTGAATTAATACTTTATTTTTCTGATGAACTGCTTAAAAACAAAATATAATCAGTGACAGTATTTACTGTTGTCATGTTTGACGCATGCGCACTTTAATRTAATGCTTCGCGCATGCGCACTAGCAGTTCCTTCAGTTCCCGTAGCGAGGCAGCGCTSTGAGGGTAAAAAAGGCCTCATTTTGTGAAAACAAAGAGCTTCTGTCTCGTGGACCGCTCCGCTCCGGGTTCGGGATGCCTCCGGCCGCCACCTTCCACGCTCAGCTGGCTTCCATCATGGAGGTTCTGGCCAACACTGCCGTGGCGGAGATCTGCGAGCTGGTGGACAGCGGCTACGCGGTGCTGCAGCTGGAGATCAGCCGCGGCCGCAAGGAGAACGAGGTGCTGCGGAGGAAGCTGCGGCTCATGGAGCTCCGGGCCGCCCGCACGGCCGTCCTGAGRAACGCCTCTAGCGGCTCCGGAACCGCCGCCGCGTTGCTGCCCGCCAGCGGCCGACCGCGAGTCCATCTGCTCGGAGGCTGCGGGCCGAGGCGGCTCGCGACACCCGCAGGTAAAAAAACAACACCGAGATCCTTCCGCGCATGCGCAAAGTAGATCCAGCCATGAAGTTCAGCTTTTCAGCCTTTTTTAATGAGAAAAACTGAATTTAAGCGGTTTAATTTATTTTAATATACGTATATAATATAATATTACATTATTGTAACATTATTTTGTTAAAACAAGATCWATGCGTTTAATTAGCAGTGTTAATTGTTGAAATAACATTTTAATTTATTGGCTTAAAGCTAAAACTTGAGGAATGTGACATTAAACTTGTCAAAACAACATTTATCAAGAGCTAAAGTTAAAAGTTCATCAAAACTTAAGCTTTAAATCATGTTAAAGTTAAATAATATAGGTTAGTTAACAGTTAAAATTCTAAATAAGACAAAGAAACTATATTTGAACAAAGTCATGGATCAGTGTTATTTTTATAAATTAATCTTTTTCTAATGTAAAAGAGCTAAAACTTATAATATTAGTTTTATTTTTAAACTGGTGGATTTTATTGAATTTACTCACAGTTGTGTCGACAGGAAGCTGCAGGTCTTCATCTTTAAACTAAAACCTGCTTCAGACCTGGACCGGTTCTGAGTGTCACCAGGTTCTGCTAACGATGTGTTCGTTTACATCAGGTGTGTCGCAGCAGGAAACAGGACTGAAGGAAAATCACCACAAAGTTCCCTGAGGAAAAAACTGTTTCACAAATTAAAACAAAAATTTAAAATAAATCTAAAATCATTTAATATTAATAATCCACACAGAGGAGGTAAAAACTGAATCWGCTTTGTGTTTGTGGTTTTAAAGACGTCGGCGCAGCGATGAAGGGATCCAGTCGGGACCCAGGTCCAGGTCCAGGTCCAGAGCCGGGACAGGAAGTCACGCTGCAGACGGTGAGTGAAGACGAGGAGTCGCGGTGTTTTACCTGCTGCAGGGTTTAACCGTCTCCTCCGGTCTCAGGTGTCCACAGGTGAGACGTCCGCTGTCATCAAAGTGGAGGACGACGAGGACGAGTCCTGGACTCAGTCTGGACCGGACCGTAAGGGTTCTGAGTGAAAMCTCTGGTTTTAAAGGTTTGGAGAAAAGTCTGAGGGTCTGTTGTGTCTGCAGGGGGTTTCTGTCGCGTCACCGAGGAGCAGACCGCCGAGACAGAAGCTCCGCCCTCGCTGGTCAAACAGGAAGTGGTGGAGGACAGCAGCGGCGTTTCGTGGACGAGCGGTGAGGTCAGCACCTCCACCCAGCAYGCCCTGAGCGGCGCTGAGAGGTCCGGCGCGTACGGCTCTCTGGTGTTCGAGCTCCAGCACGTCTCCCAGAATCCCCCGGAGACCGCCGCCCGAGTCCTCGGGGACGGCGGGAACGTCTCCGACGACTCGGGCGGCGGCGGGGCCTTCGGGTTCAGCCACGGCGAGGGGGGCCAGCCTGCGGCCGGGCGGAGGGACRCCGCCGGACAGAGCGCGTTCGTCCGCAGGGACGGCTGGCGTCTCCAGAACCGGGTCYGCAGGGACGCCTCGGGGACCAAGACCTTCGTGTGTAACTGCTGCGGGAAGAGCCTGGCCTGCCTGAAGAACCTGAAGACCCACATGAGGGTCCACACGGGCGAGAAGCCCTTCATCTGYGCGCTCTGCGGCAAGCGCTTCTCCGACTCCAGCAACCTGAAGCGCCACCAGAGCGTGCACACGGGGGAGAAACGCTACGGCTGCGTGCACTGCGGGAAGCGCTTCGCCCAGTCCGGCTCGCTGAAGGTCCACATGAGCGTCCACAGAGACTGCAAGCAGTTCCGCTGCTCGCTCTGCGGCAAGGCCTTCACCTCCGGGGGGCACCTGCGGCGCCACATCGCCTCCCACGCAGGAGAGAAACACTTTGCCGCTGCGTCGCCGTGACCACGAGCCACCGTTCATCAGGAGCCGTGCAAAAGTCCTGATCCATCTCTTCGTGTGTCCCGCCAGCAGACGGTTTTAATCTTTTAAAATGCTTTCAGTCGTTCCGAACAGAAAGCTGTTTTTAACTTTGTATTTTCTTCAGGTTCTGGTTTTCTTGTGGTGAAATGTTAGAAACTTTGATCTTTTCCTGTAGTTTGGTGATCAAATCGTTTAAATCCTGCAGCAGTTTCACTTCCTGTTTTTGTTTTTATGTTTGAAACTGGAGCTGTGACCAGATTTAAAGGGGCAGTATCATGTAAAATCAACTTTTGAGTTTTATATCATGTTATAATGTTATATTCTAATAAAGCAAATGAGTGAAACTGAAAGTGAAACTTAAACTGTCTGCTACTCTTAACACTACTTTTCAGTGAAGCTCTTTTCAGATTAGAAATACCTTTGAAGAAATGTATTTTCAGATGCCAAGTAAACTGCATCATAGCGCACACGCAACCCCCCGAAATGGACGGGGCAGAAGCGAAGGAGGTTCTTAAAGAGACAGAGGCCAATTTCAAGGCGTTTAGAAGAGGAAGTGATGAGAAGACAAGTTTATTTTCTATTTAAACATAAAAACAGCATTTTAATAACAACTAAAGGTAACATAGATACTTTATTATGGTATAGTATTTAAATATATGCCTGAGAAACACATAATATTGCCCCTTTAAAGCCTGTTTTGTTGCTTTATGTCGGATTAACCAAGATTTCTTCACTTTTACGGAGTACAACTTTTAAAGAATAATTCAGATTTTGTGTTTTAATTTCAACAAAAGTTAAACTGAAACAAGTTTTGATTTTAAAACAGCTGCAGGAAAATAAAAACTCTTTAAAATAAGTTAAATCAGTTTGGTTTTGTTATTCATTATATCAGTTTATTTGTCAACAATCATTTACGGGAGGGGCAGAAAAATAAATCTTAAACACAGCGCCGCCTGCTGGTCAAATGTTCAGTTATTCCAAACTTAAGTTTAATCATAAGATTTTAATTTTAATTTGCATTTTTACAGATTATTAATTGAAGATGTTTTTTTGTTTCATTTTGCTTCTGGTTTCAGATTATTTTTCTGCTCATCCATCAGATTGTAACATCACAGAAACAAAAAAATAAGTTGTGAAAGTTTCACGTCTCAAAGTCTAAAAAAAGTGCAGTTAAAATAAAAAGATCAAAGATTTTGTTATTTCACAAACATCTAAAGCTCAGAAGGTTCACATGTTAACTATTACTGAAGAAAAAATACAAACAGGAYTTCCTCTTAAAGCTGAACTAAAGTGTTTCTAATTCTGACAAACTTTGTGTTAAAACATTTTAATAAAACAAATAATTTCACAATTAATACAGAAACTTAGTAAGTGCTAATAAATGTAATAATATATTAGACGTTTTGCTTATTTTGGCACATTTATCCACTTCCTGCTTCAGATTGAACCCTGATTTCACAATAAAAGTTTAGATTTAATAAAATATTTGTAAAATACTTTGAGTTCAGGTCAGAATCTGCAGCCTTTTTACAACWAATTCAAAACTTTTTGACAGAAATCAAAAAAGAATCTAAACTGTGGAACCAACAGAACCGACCCGCGGGTCAAAGGTTCTGGTTTTTTGAGCTACAAACATGAAAAAACATCTGATAAGAAAAGTTGTATAAAAGCGTACACTTTGTTATTATTTAAACATTATTTTCACGTCACAGTTAAAAAACATTCAGATCTTATTTCTACACATTTTCCTGATTCATTTTCTCGAGCTTTAACTGGATTTATTGCTAAWGATTGTTTCTCTTGAAAGAAAAGTTTAGAAACATAAAATAATATTTTGTGAGATGAGCACAAAACTCTATTTCAAAATAAAAGCACATTAAAAAACTAAAAACTACTGAATTTTTATTTTATATAAAAGGTGAACAAAATCTTTAAAAGAAACAAAAAGCAAAAAAGTTAAATTTAATTATTTAATATTTAATTAATAGATTTTTTCCCTTTTTTGTCTGAAGATTTTTGTTCTTTTAGGTCAAATAAATTCACATTAAAGCAGATCTGGTTTTACTGAGCTGTACGTTCAGTTTCTGCAGGACTAATCTGTTTTATTAATATTAATAATAATAATTAATAATCATCTCTTTATGCAGCCAGCTGACAGAAGATACTTGAATCAGAACCTGGTGTCTCCAACACATTTCAGTTTAAGATAATTGTATAAACTCTCTTTTTATCACTTGATTTATTTTTGATTTGTCAAAATTATTTTAACGTGACAAAAGCTGCAGAAAGTTTAATTAAATTTTCTTGTGTCATTAAATCATTTGAAATGAATCAGATCTTAAAGTAGTTTTAATAATTATGATTTAAAAACTGGACAAGAATTTATAAAACTGAATCTGATCTGTTTCTTTAAGTTGTTTTAAGTTTTATCTTTGAGYCTGAATGTGTTTAAGAAAACAGTTTGGAGAAAAAAAGCATTGATTTTGTATTTAAAATAAAACTTTTTAACATTTAAAACAACAACAACAGATTTTAGCTTCAGTTCTGATCCAAACAGGAAGCTGCTGACCTGATTTGTGGTTTTAATGTAAAAAAAAGTTTAAATTGATTTAAAATGTGGGTTTTTTTAGCTTTCGTTCCCCCGGAGCTCAGAAACTGTAAATAAAGCAATAATTATTACATTCCTGCTGAGTCCCGTCAGGACTCTGGTCCTGACTTGTCTCTGGTCTGGGCTCACTCGTTGTTGGATGTGATGTCCTGAAACAGAAGCAAACAGAACCGGGCCGTTAGTCTTCTGTCCTCCTGCACATGGAAGAGGACAAACCAGGTCTGGACTGGACTCACCTCGGTCTTGGCTCGTCTCCACTCCCCCAGAGGTCCAGACTTGGTCAGAACTGAAACATTTTAGGAAGAAAAATTATTAAAACGTTACTTTTAAAGCTTAAAACTTTAAAATAAATCAATTTTATTATTTTAGATCAAAGTTGTTTGTTCGGCTGCAGACACACTCACTCATGAAAGTGGCGACGGTCACAAACACTGCTGACGTCACACTGGAGCTCCACCACCAACACCTGCAGGACAGACACACAACACTTCAGCTTTTCAACAGGTCAACTTCACTAATCACTAATCCACTAAACTAACAGATTCACTAATCACTAATCCACTAAACTAACAGATTCACTAACCACTAATCCACTAAACTAACAGATTCACTAATCACTAATCCACTAAACTAACAGATTCACTAACCACTAATCCACTAAACTAACAGATTCACT